CAACACAGCACCTGAAGTGTACACGCACCTCAAACGCTGGTTTATAAGGTATCTGCAAAAATAATGTGAGTATTGAGCTTCCAATCAGTCTGTGTGTTCAGGTGTTTTTTTGTGTTTGTGTTAAATCGTCCCTTAAATTAACTAAGCGAAACCTGTTGAAGCTAATTTTATGCAGCTATGAACAGGTTTGAAAACATCCACCGTAGCTGTGATGCATTTAGGTTTGCGTAACAGGTATGGTGTGTGTGCCCAGGCCTGTCTGTGTGTAACATTCTTTGCCTCATACGAGAAAGGGCTCCTCTCATGCCAGCTGAGGTCAGCCCCGGACACCGTGGGGTGCTCCCTGCTCCCGCCGCGGTGGGCTGGGAGGCAGGGGGAGGCCTCAAGCGCTTCTGGGAAACAGTCTGGGCCTAATTGGAGCCTGACTGGTTTCACATGTCTCCACTTACCGGAGGACACAGAGGATGGCTCTGCCTGGCCTATGAGAGCGGCTGCAGAAACCAGGCCTTTCCCCCTTCATCAGCATAACCACACAGAAGAGAATTCACCAGCAGGCCTGACATGACAGCATGGCTGAGTGATGTGGTCTGCTGTGTTTCAGCGCGGTGAGGTCAGGTAGTGAGCATTATATTATGTTTTTTTTATTATTGGACTTTCGGTACAGTTTGTTCCAAGGATCTCCTTTCTGTACAGCGCAAGCACCCTCCTACTATTGTTCCCTGTGAACTCATTCTGGGTCATGAATGATGAAACCTCCCCTTCCAACAGTATATCACATTCCCCTGGTCACGCACTCAGAAACCTCACTCTAACAAAAACACGTACAAGAACAGTCTGCATATCCGTGCTGCACTGAGAAATATGAGAAGTGAAGATGGTGAAAAACAAAAAGTTCCTGCTGCCTCACCACCACAACACATTCTCTAACTCTTTTCACTTTTTTTTTGTTCATGCCCCAGCAACATGCCTCTCATTTCCCATCATTCGCGTTCATGTCCTTGGCCCTGCATTGTGTTTCTCAAAATCGTCTTTATGATCCTGTTTTATAGCAGTGGTGCTGAAGGTTTTTTCACTCCAGTTGTGTAAAAATACGTACGGTCTGTTTCCAATCCAACCAAAATCTTTTTATTTAAAGGTCCCCTATTATACTGTTTTTCATCAATATATTATAGATCTCAGATATATAAAACATGTCTCTAAAGTGTTTGGCTCAAAATACCAAACAGATCATGCATTGCAGCATCCCATAATCCCCTCTGTTTCAGCCCTGTTTCAAAAGTGCTGATTCTCTATCTTTTATCTTTAGATGAAAATAAGGAGCCACTCCCCACGCCCCTCTGAAAGATATTTGGTTAAAAAGAACACAATGTTGCTCTAGGAGGAGATCCAGTTGATAAGGTAGGGGGTGTTTCCTTGGTTGGTGATTGGCTAATGGTTAAAGAGGACAACAACATCGTTATGACATCATAAAGTGGCCAACATCTGATCAGCTCATTTTCAGACAGGTTTTTATATAAATGGATCAGGACAAAAAGTGAGTGAGTCTTTTTCCCTGAAAGTTTCAGAATACACAGAGGGGACACGAATGTATAAAAGACATGAAAAAGTGGATGTTGCATGATAGGTCCCCTTTAATATCATTATGCAAGGATCCGAAACAGGAATCTAATTTTGCAATTGTTATGTTCACTGGGCATCTGGAAGAAATTGTTTCATAATTTGCACCCAAGTTCCCTCCAAACACTGCAGGCAATCGCCCAGAGGTAAATATACCAAAAAACACACATTTTCATTTAGCCTTGGATGTAGGTTTTGCTGGGGAAAACAATATTTTAATCTTTCACAGATTAAAGGACTTTTGAAAGCAATTCTCTCAGTTCAGATAAACATGTCTCAACTTGAATAAACTCATACGAGAGAACCGTTTCACATTATCACTGTGCCTACTACTCAACATTACCCATGGGCCTCTGCAGCTCTGTAACTACACTGCATGTCAGTAGCATTTAGAATTCACTGTGAATGTTCAACAGAGACTGAAGCTAATCTGTGTTACTACAAAGTGCTTCTGTAGCTGAAAAGTCGACCCAAACTGCTTTCAACGGTGGTTTACTCTGTCTGCAAGTTACACATTTACAATGCTATTAATCATACTTAGACATAATTTTGATTGCAAGATGAGTACATCATTGTTATCACTTTTTCAACTTCTCGCAACAGAGACTTTTTGGCAACAGCCCCGTCGTTTATTCATATAGACAGTAGAGGCAAACAATCTCACCAAGTTTAAAATAGTCATTTATTTAAACCTATAAAATCCAAGTTTAGATTACTCCACACCAACAGAAATCCAAAGATATGCATGCATTTTCAACTACATTTCCTGAATGCCCATTCCATTGAGAAAGTCATTTATATTGATTGCTTTTCCAGGCATCATTTAATACGATACATATTCACTTGTAAATATCGACCTTTCCCTGCTGCGCCGACATTTGTGCCATAAATACGTGCATGCAAGCTTTATAAATAAAGGAAATGTTGCGCTGCAGCATGAGAATGGATTCAAACAGTGGCAGGAGAATGTGCTTTTTGTTTAACACAGGGTAAATGTGGTTAGAGTAACGCAATGTTTGGCAGTTGTGCACCAGAGAAGGAATGATTCAATTCCAAGGCTGCCCTCAAGAAGCATTCAGTATTCAAAGAAATACAGCAGGATGGCCACACTTTAATGTGTGTTGTTGAGGCATAACTGTAATGGCTGCAACTAATAGGCGATATAAAAATACAAGTTATCTTTGTAGTTTGCTTCAGTATTTGAATTGTCCCTGCAGCAGAAAGCCCATCGCTGCTGATCACACACTGCCCCCTGCTGGAGAGACTTTACTAGAAAGCTCTGAAGGAGTTTGTGGTCGTGTAAAAGACTTCCATAGCCAGTGTTGACACATTTGTCTTTATTTTTAGCTTGATTAAATGGCAATGATACAAACCTCAAATCAAACATTATTAAACAGAATACCAAAAGAAAATGGCACAGCTAATAGGAAACAAAATGAAGACAACATACCCACAATACATTTTAAATATGTACAACTTTGATAAATAAACCAATACTGTCTAGAATTATGATTGTTTTGCTTTTTTCATAATTTCCCTAGGATTAGTGCGTAGAAGAGCAGAGAGAAGAAGAGAACCAGAAGAGGCAGTGAGTGAGGACGATGAGCAGCAGGCACAGATGACAGTAGACAAGAGTAGAAAAGACAACCGACTGATGCAAATTTGTACCTCCACGCAGTTGAGTTTGCCATTCGACAAAATGACTGCTTCAGCATGATCATACGCCATCCTGACCTCCATCTTTTGGTGCAGCGCAGTACATTCCTCACACCGAGCAGTTTTGTATTGTTTCACATCACAATTTGGATCCTGAGTCGGGACAGCCCATTCGTTTCCAGGCAGAGCTTTTATTGAACCACATGTTTATTTGTGCTGCGTAAAAGCCTCTATAACAATATGTCATATTATGTCTTATCCATAAACAACCTGAAGCACAGTTTTGTAAAAAGATCAATGAGGTCTGGCTGAGAGATGAAAATGCGTGTGATTTGTTTTTCCCTTGAATAGGTAACTCTCTCTACGAAGAAAATCAATATTAAACGCAGGAAATAAAGATGACATTCTGTCGATTGGGGGAAGAAACTGTCGCTAACCAGCAGCTTTTCTCGTGACGTTTCATCTAGATCAACAGGCCCCATGCAGCAGTAACTTTACTAACACTGAAATTAAGTTTTGTGTATTAAGACAAAATAATATAAAAATGTATGGGAAGTGAAATTGAAAAATAGGGCCACCATTTCTAATTTCCAGACAACCTCAAAAAGAAGCCCAGGGTGATAAACAGTCGTCCCTTTAAAAGACACTGATCCTCAGGATGCGTCTCCAGGACTTTCAGGAAATGAAGAACATGAGTCAGACAGCTCTGAGACCCCGTCCAGACAGCCTCACCTGCAGCGTCCCAAAATGCAGCTTCACATTTACAAAAACAGTTCGATCCGGGACACAGATGAGGCTTTCATTCCTCAAATGGCTGTCGTGAACAGGACCCATGTCACGTGGAAAGTTTCAGAACGTCATAACAATCTCCTGAGTGGCAACTTTTTTACGTTTTCTTTTTTGTAAGTATAAAATCACTAACAGTTGGCAAATCATACCCTCCCGCCCTTCCTCCCACACCCGCCCCCCTGCAGTTTCTGTTGCCTTTTTCTTAACAAAAGTAAACAAACAACAAGAGGAATCAACATTTAAAGCTGTAAAAATACACATATTACGGTAACATTAAAGGGGACCTATCATGCAAAATGCACTTTTGTACGTCTTTTATACATGAATATGTGTCCCCGTTGTTTCAGGGAACTCACCAAGTGTCAGAAAACACAACCCTCTCTTTTCCTCCATACCCAAATCTCTAAAAACGGGGCTGCAACGGATCTGATACAGACTGATACAGATTTTAAATTGTTCTGACGTCAGAAACGGGGTGCTCCGCCTATATGGGCAACTCTCCACCTATCAGGGGAATGAGAGGTTGCCGTGGCATGGTAACGGCATGGTAACAGCATGGTAACATGACGCTCGTGCCTCGCCCCCCTCCTTTGCAGGGGGGCGTGGTTAGCTGCAGCTCATTTGCCACAGAATCAGCCCTTGCAAAAACAGGGCTGGAAAGAGCAAATAGAGCGAAATGAGGCATGGCTGAAATGCATGATCTGTTTGGTATTTTGAAAAAAAAACCTCACAGACATGTTTTGTATAGGAATGGCCCTACAATATATTATTAAAATATAGCATGATAGGTCCACTTTAAAGCACGTCAAAAAAGGTATTCACTTCTCTTTCAGGAAGCGAGGAATATTTTGGTTGGAGTGCCACACGGTCAGACCTGCTGAGTTTAAAGGATGTGTGCTACGGGGGGCTGCACGAGTGTATTCATGTTGTGTACAGTATGTGTGCAACAATGTATATGGGATTTATGTTGTTTGTTATTTAAGCATCTTCGAAGGGGGTTTGCCGTCTTAAACAGCAAGATTTCCTTTCAGCTTCATACACAGAGAGCACAAACAAAGCTGAGAGAGGAGGTTAACAGACTTTGGCCCTGACTCTTATCTAGAAACCCCAGCATGCTTCCTGTTTTTCTGGCCTGTAGAGTCCCAAGTCCTAGAGAAATCCCCTGCAGAGGTCTAAGGCAGACCTAAACCGCGGCCTCTGCACCCCCCCCAGACAGGGCGGGCAGATACCCGGACCCCCTGCTCTGTCAAGTGCAACATCTGGAGCGCAGGGCAGCTCTAGTGCCTCTTCATGGACGACACCTTCTTCTTCCTAGCTGCCAGCATCTCGTAAAAGGGATCCCTGCTGATGGCAGCTCTGTAGAAACAGACGCAGAGGGGGGGGCGGGGTTGCGGGGGGGGGGGGTTAGTGTTCCTGCACTTTCAAAGTACTGGAATGTCAGACATTTGCATGCAGGTAGGGCTCAATTTACAATGATACTAAGAATGTATGTGTGGTAAAATGAGTTTATACATCTAACATTATTTCCCTTCATACATTATGGTTCCTGTAGCAAAGACCTTAGAGCCTGATTACTCCAAGTTCAAAGAAACACAGAAATAGGATCGACTGAAACGCATGTGTAGGTGACACACATGCACTTCATAATGCCAGGCCTGTCAGAAGAGAAGGAAACATGTTTTACTTGATGCTGTTCATCCATTCGTCTTTTTCCTCAGTCGTGGGGGCGGAGATACGGTAGAAGGTATGGTTGCCCTCGACTACGCGTCCGTCAGCCTCAGTCTTGCAGGCTTTTATCACCTGGTCCTTGTTGTCGGGGATGAAAAGCTCAAAGCAGTTCTACAGAAGAGGAGAAGATGGAGGTTAGATAATATAGAAAACATAATGCATAGATATAAATAACTGTATTTATCAACAAATTCTAAAAACTAAAATCTAATTTACATACAGTACATTATCCATATTAAGGAATCCCTCTCTATGGTATTTTGTATATATAAAGTTGTGAGGGCCTTACTCCCAGTACAATTGTTTGTCAATAAGGAAATAAACTACCCGTCGAGAGGTAATTGTCAATTGAATGTATTATGTTTGATTTTTTTTTGTGCAAATATCACAGTGGTGTAGGTGCAAATCAAAGCAGTGAAAATTCAGCTAAAATAATCCCAGTTTTTAACTTCCTAAAAAGGGCAGCACCGAATAAAATCCTTCTTTATTGTCCATTTAGAAAATGGGTGGAAGTAAGATTTCCAAGTACCAGTTCTTACTGTGTGAAATTAAATAAATGACCAGTAGAGGGAGCTGTACTTACAGGCTTCTTGTCCTCCACCTCCTTGATGCTCAGGTTCTCCAGGGGGATTATTCCTCTGGGCTCTTTGTCCTGGACAAACAGAAACTCTGTGATTGAGAGAGCTGCACACGGGAACAACGGGAACAACAAGAACAGAAGGAGCACAGTCTTCACTGTGACTGAGAAACTGATTGTACTCACTGTGGTGTACTCAAAGTAGTACAGGCAGTTATCTGTGAGGATGAACCACCTTCTCTTCCAGGTTTTAACACGTCCCCCTGTGGAGCAAACAACCAGCGTCAGAGAGGCTCAACAAGAGAGAGAGAGAGAGAGAGAGAGAGAGAAACGAGCACCGAAGCACCGGGTCGAGCAGCAGACAGGCAGACAGATGTATGGCAGACAGACAGATGACGGCTACAGAGGACTCCTTTTACCCACTATAGCGATTCACCCTCTTCCACCATTGCACCATGCGCTCACCATCACCAGTTACTTTGTTATTTTTTCTTGACTTTATCCTTTCCCCTAATGCTCTACGATGAAGCTACGTCTCCACGAATGTATTGGTGTGTCTGGGAACTGTGCTAACTCGGCCCTGTTTCTCTTTCATTAATAGCTGACTGAGGAATGAGTGTGGAAAGCCAGGATCAATAGACACGATACAGATCCATTTGCTTTGCACTCACTGACCTTAATGAACTACTGTCCCAATGAAGTAACTAGGAGCCAGGTATACATGTGGAAAGCAAGAACTCAAATGACTGCCAGAGGGCTGAATGAGGAAAGTAAGGAGTGATTTAAGATTAACTTCTCTTTCACACCCAGTGGGGGCTCTCTGGTTAACTCTGCAACCCCTGATCTGTAGCTGACCTCTGACCCCTTTTGTCACCCATACTTCCTGCGAGGGGAAACCTGATCAGAGGAGCAGATGGCACTCTCTCTGGGAGGATGGGATGCCAACAAACAGAGGCTCATTGAGCTCTGCGCCTGCAGCTATGCTCAGCTTCTCAACAGGCATCTCAGACTAGAATTTCCTGTTTTGGCTTTGTTAAATAACTTCTAAGTCTTATAGTAGCAGTGTCCGGTGAGTAGGAGGGCGGGGCTTTGTTAAATAACTTCTAAGTCTGATAGTAGCAGTGTCCGGTGAGTAGGGGGGGGCACTCGATATCTTTGTGAACTCGATATAAAGACCTAAGCCTTGTCTAGACTGGGCTATCCCACCACCAATGTTAGTAAAAAGCTGCATTGTGAAACCCATCTACCCGGATAAAGGAGGCTTAGAGGATGTTTGTAAACATGTAGAACACACACATTTGATCATATAGCAGCAGTGGCACTGTATATGATATCCCATCAAATCACAGACGTCATGACAGGGCAAACACTTCAGTCTATGCTTGTTACAATTTACAGACACCATCGACACACGCTTCACTCGACAGGCAGAGATGGAGAGCCCCGTCGTCACATCTCCACTTGTCAGCGTGATGCCAAGGAAAAAGCAGACAAACAGAAAAAACAGACGCGATGGCAGAATCACACAGCTGACGGCCCGAGCTGATTGGTTCAGTCGGAGGTTGAGATCGGTTTCATGGTCATGTCAGCTCCTGTAGCTCCCATAAGAGACATGACCAACTCCCCTGCAAGAATGTCTGGGACGAGGCGGGACGTCCCAGCAGATTGTTGCAGGGGCATGTTGCCGTAGTGGAGCGGGGGGGGGGGAGGCACCCATGCAAGACCGGACTGTGAGAGGCTGGGCGAGTAGAGGGTAGGTGGGAACAGGGGTCTCTTTTAAAAGATATTTAGATTTTGTGATTCAGTTTAAAAAGATTATTCTCAAAAGGACAAATTAGAAACTGGTTTGCTTCTCATGTCATTTCACTTCTTGTTTTTGTAAAAACAAGGGTGCAAATGTAGTTATGAGAGGAAACATTCATTACTTACAAGAATGCACAACCAAACCTCTTAAGTATGTAGATGTTATGTGTATGTGCAAGCAATCCTGAATAAATCCCTTTCAGCCCGCTCCTCTGCCCACGCTTCTCTCCCACAGTTTGGTCCAGTCCAGCGCCACACCGGTCCCCACTGTTACCCTTCAGATCCATTTAATCATAAGATAAGGAGAGCAGAGCCACACGGTTGAAACGGTGCATTATTCCCTTTCCATGCCACCAGAGAGAAAACAACAATAAGCCAATGAGTAACTGGGTTCATGGTGAATTTGGAGAGTCAAGCGAAACTCCTTTGTTGTGCTCACTGTACGGCAAAAAGGCATAATGCAGCTTTCAAAAATAAACACAGATCAAAGAGTGACCACCACAGCATACAGAGAAAAGAGAGGCAAACTGGTCACAAAGCCTCCGCTCCCCGAGCCGAGCCCATGGTGTGGCGAGTGAACCCGGTGAGTGCCCAGCAACCACCCACAGAGATTAAAGAGTGTGGACGGACCACCAATGACAGACTACACAGACATACATCAGAAGATCAAATGAGTCAATGGAGACACAAAAATAAATTAAAAAAAATCTGCGGCCCGGCCTGAACTTTTACAAAACATGAGAAAATAGAACAAAAGCATGGCGGACCACCAAAAAGCACCCCGAGAGCTGAGAGATGGACTAGCGTTTGGGAAGAGCAGGTGTACATACCTCCTGAGGAAAGACAACAGCCAAACACATGGACACAAACAAACGGAGAGGAAAAGAAAACAAAATAAATCAAATTAAATGATAAGGAATTATTGCACCACAGTCCTGACGATCTGGTTCCAGGGAGGCTTTGATGCACTGCTTTACAGCTTTCCTTTTGAGGGTCAACAGATTTTACATATCTGATGTTGCTGCATCAGCCCACAAGGGGGAGTTGTACTCAACGCCACAGCTACTGTAAAGCACTACATTAAATATCGCCTCCACTTGGCTCCATGTTTGTTATGTCCAGTCATTTACCCCTGATTGCTTTATTAAAAACTGACAATTTGGAGAGAGAGTAATTCTTCACTTTCTTGTTTAGGTCCATTGTAAAGATTCACAGTGATTGGAATATCCAATTTCATGTTAAACATTCATGCGCTCTTTAATTCAATTGTGAATCTGTTCAACAGAGAGATCTCAAAGGAAACAGAGGGTGAAGAGTTCAGGGGTCCAGGGTTGTGCTTTTCTTTGTGTAGAAGTATTGTGACCAGTGAAAGTAACATTAGACATCCTGTGAAACATTTGTAACAATACAGGTGTATGCATTAGCTCAATGGTGTCCACAAATATGTTTAAGTCAAAACAAATTCACATAGTCAGGACAAAAACACCCATCAAACCACACAAACACTTTTAAACTCTAATAAGGATAAGAAAAATAATTAGAATCATTCAAATTAATTGAATTATTCAAAATATTAATAATTCAAAAATAATGCTTGAGGAGGGTTTCCACTATGGTAAACATCTGAGTTAAAATGTCTGCAGTAAAAAGCAAAAACACATGTCCTCTTAAGTAACATTTTCTAAACGTTGTGTTTGTGCATAAACTTGATTTACAAGCCATAACAGCTGTCATTGTGCTTGTGTGTGTACGTCAGTGTATGAAAATGCCCTGTGGTAAATAATGCAAAGGCCTCCACATGTGGTTGTCTGATCTCAAAGCCATATTCATAATACATGAAAGCGGGCAGAGATGTTTTCAGATGTCTCAGGTCGAGCGTCTAGCAGCTCATACACACCTTAACTTAACATGTGCCTTTATGAAAACACAACGTAATCATTCTGCACAGACACAAACATGAGAACACCATTATCTTGGCAATACATTGTGTACCCAAATAAATGTGCACGTGTATTTCCAGTTTCACTCACCCAGTTTTAGCAGCCAGCCCTCTCTGTCTGGGTTGAAGAAAGTGTGTGTGAGGTCGTTTCCGTCGTCCTCTGGGATTTTGAAAGGCTCATTCTTGATGCTATCATACAGATTCTACAACACAGGGAGTGGAGTATAAACACAGAGCTTGTGGAAGAATCATTCACGATATCTGTGTGTTACAGCCATACTGACCCTGAGCAGGTCTTCAGGTAGGTCTCCTCCTTCGTTGATTCCTCTGTTCATGGAGATGAATCGTTCCACAGCCGGCTTGTCCTTCACGTTCGGGTTGTGGAGGCTGGTGTTTAGCATGATGATGGCAAATGACAAGATGTAACAGGTGTCTGTAACACACACACACAATTATAAGAGAGAGATGAGCAAACGGTTGCTATTTACCATAAAGCTGCAGCCAATGTCTAACTTAATGTCTAATGTTTAAATATAAATATAAATTAGCCGAGATGAAAGGACTGCACTTAGGGGACCACAGTGGAACAGAGAGGAGCGGACAGGCGAAGCTTCGTTAGCGGGGAGAGTGGGCGGGAGTGAGAGGCTGCGAGTGGGCAGCTAAGTATGCATGTGTGTTTCTGGACGTGCACTCTAATGTGTGTGTTTACTAAAAGTCAACGGGGCCAGCACAAGGCTGATGCAGCAGCAGCACTTAATCGGGCCTGTTAGGTTGTTGAGGAGCATGCATTATTCACATCCATCTGCATCCATGTTAGAGGCAGGCTGCTGTCTGATATGGACATTATTTCCCTCAAGCCAGATGCTGCTGTAGAGCACAGCTCACCTCAGCAGACGTTGTGTCTGCTGAACCGAGCACTTTAGATATCTGTTCCGGCGACATGCCATTAGATCTCAATGCTTTATGGAAAAATGAAGTGCTTCAGGGAGGAAACAAGTTTATCTGCTTTAAGAAAAATAAGTGTTTTAATAGGTTATTATTAATATTGCTGATGGCTATATTTTAGAATAAATTAACCTAAATCTGAATACATTATGTTGTTTGTTTCACTGCCCACACATCCTCAGCTCTTTGGCTTTTCATGACGGCACTGAAAGCTTGTCTTCATGGCGTGGCGCTGTACCTGTGGACTGGAAAACGCCAGGGTTGCATTGGCAGTAGCGCTGAGCGAAAGACTCCATCATGCGATCGATCTTCTGAGCTTCTCCCGGTAGCCGAAAACTCCACAGGAACTGTCTGTCAGGGGACACAGTCAGCATTCAGCAACACTCACTTCCACTGTGAAAAGGCTGAACTAGCTCTCGTGAAGGAACAACACTGAAAATCACAGATGTGAGGGATGTTCGTTTCTTGGGAGATGATGTCTTACCTGAGGGCCTGAACCAGGTTCAGGTCTGTGAACTCATGAAGCTCCACGAAGGCATGAAGGACTTCCAGATTGAAGTCATCTCTACAGGGACAAAAACAAAAGCAGAGCAAATTGTATCACTGGTCAACATTTAACATGGCTTTTTCAGCATAACCAAGAAAAACATATACAGAAGATTAACGCTGCAATTTATGATTATACTCATCATCAATTCTTCCTATTATTCCTCTAACGTTTGTTCACTGCCTCATTTGAAAAGTAGACTCCATCAGGAGTGTGATCTGACTCTCAGAGGTCTGTGGTATTCCATCAAATATAATAGGAGAGGGAAAACACCCGCCACCTCCCTCTCATTTCTCATCTAATCTCGATCATGACATCATCCCTGACCTTCAGGCCCTTTACAGTAAACGATCTTCCCTGTGGGATCATGGGAAGGCTCTGAGGAGCTCTCGCTGACAGTCTTATCCAGTCACTACTGTTCCCAGTGGACGAGTGACCAATCGTGTCTCAAGGCTCTCACGCCGTTTCAGCCTCTCTTTGTAGAATCAGAAACACTTGGAGAGGTGATAACAATCACACTTAGAGCGTCCATCCACAGCCTGAGCTCCATTTCCTGTCCTGACCTCAGAGACCACACCCTGACTGTAACTCTGCCGGCCCTGTAGTCCCTGAGCAGCGTGTGCTGGCCATAACTGTCATGTTTTCACTCCAACAGGGACGGTCTGGAGTGTCTTCCAACACGTGCGTTGTCAAGTTTCTTTATCGTGTTATATGAATGAGAAAGATAATCAAAGACAGATGGAGTAACAAACATCTTGAGAGGATAAATGTGGTTCCAGTAAACTTGAAAGGAAGGGTGTGTTCCTGACCAAGAGGAAACGCAGCAAGACGGAAAATATGCACTCGACATTCGAGGCTTTTATCAACCACATTGATGGGTGCTGGTGAGTCATGATAGAGTGTGAGTGGAAGATGGTTAGATAGTGGAAAATAAAGATCAGTCTTCATCCTCACCTCTCTCCGAGATAATCTCCGATGGCTGTTTTGTTGAGGCCCTCGCCTTTGTAGAGGAATTGAGCAATGTCGTCGCTGGTGTTCTTCAGCAAATCGTTCTCAATCAGGAACTGGATCCCCTGAGAAAGAGAGAGGGCCCCCCAGGTTACTTCCTGTTCATCAGAGCATGTGGACCAAATCTCATTTCGGAAGAATCCCGACCTACCTTTTTGGGGTCCATGTTGAATTTCTTACGGCCCATGGCCACCTGTTTATTCCTCTGCATATTTTTCCTGGAACAGAAGAGTGCAGGTTGTTTTTAAGTTTGACTTTATGTTCACACAATGTTGTATACAAACAAACTCTGGTATGTAGGAAGGGCTTCAAACTAAACTACTTTAATTATCAATAATTCTGAAATATCACCTTGTTGGAAACTACACCAAACCAACCAAAACCCAAATATATTCAATACAATACCACAGAAGGTCCAAGACAATCTTCTTGTTTGAAAAGTTAAATCTAGTGATTTCTGGTCATTTTGAAAAAAAAAAGAATCATTGCCCTGAGCGGAATACACTTAGATCTTTTGGTATGCGAATCCAACAAATGGATTTCACAAGGCTCGGCCAGTAACACTAAATGTATTTGCTTCACTTCCTAAAAGTGTCTTTCATTTGTTTGGCGGAGACTGGCCTGTCCTCCCCCTCCATTGTGATGACAAAGCCTTGATAAGGCGTTTAACATCATGCATATGGGAACGTCTCATTTCCCATGGCTGGAGTAATTCAGGGGTCAAAGTGCACTCAAAGAGTCCGCTGTCACCATGGTTACATCTCCATCTCCAGCCGGTGAGAGGTCGCCACTTCTTCTTCCCACTGATTCACTCACAGCAGCATTCCTTGGGCTATATACTGCCAAAGTCTGACATTCAACTGAACAGAGGCAACACAGACTACAATGCACTTCCTTCAAAAATGGATTAAAGGAAACTTTGATCGTAAGAAAGTGCAGTAAACCTTAATGGGTTTTATATCCAAGAAAGATAATTCGGTAGTTGATGGGATCTCTATCCACTTGAGTAGTCCAAACATCAAGCCTCCCTCCCCTGGGATGGTCCATTGTCTGCCTCTGCCCGTACACCCACTGCATTATTCACTGAGGCCTCTCATAATGGGGGTGCGCCTGATGAAACATTTAAACTGCCTTAAAAGCAGCATTGCCAATTTGTAGCCATTTTGGTGTGACCAGATCACCAGACCTGCCCATCAAACATTCATTATTGATAGCTTCATTTGCTAAGTTAATAGAAGGCTAACAACAAGCCAATATAGGCGACACAGAGGGAGATTGTGTGTGAAGGGGGGAGGGGACGAGAAGGGGCGGACACCCTTTTTTCTTACCTCTCCTCAGTGGAACCCAGGTTCTCGATCTCACTTGTCACTTCTGCTATCTCATCCTTCAGCCGCTGCAGAAAAGAGAAAAAAAAACGTTAGACTTCAAATGTCATTCATCATGTGCAAGCTAATTTCCCTGACCCAGGAGAAGCGTGTGACAAACACAAACAACATGCAAAGTATTTGTACGTCTTTATTAAACAGTGCCGAGGGAGAGGCCATCATCTCTGAATCACCCGTTTGTCTATAAGCCAGGTGGCCTTTGATCACATCCGGCCTTTTATCTCATAAACACTCACATCGGAAACCATCAGCTCAACAAAGAGAGCATCTTAGGCTCCTGATGAGCTGAAGCATCACACACTGGTGCCCTGCCAGCTCTCCTTAGTTCTCTTAAACAAAAAGCTGATATCAACTGTCTACAGTTCATCTCATATGGACACACGTGTTTGCGTGTGTGCGCTCTCTTCAAGCAATCCTCTCATCGGGGATTCGATTAGGCGGAAAACATTCCGGGATAACCGCAATACAAATGGAGTGAGATGGCGTAAAAGTGGATTGTATTTTGTGCAGCGTTTTAGAGATTAATGGTCTCAGGTTTAGTCGATCAGGAGGGCTGGTGCCAGGCTGCCGCAGGGTGATGTCAGCTTGATGAAAGTGTGGAATAATAGACTGTAGCATGAGAGGAGTCCTGTATTCAGATAGAGCTTACCCTTTATCAAGAGAGGCTGCGACTAAAAAGGTTACAATCATGGAGCCTCCCCATTCAAATCCAGCTGCGGCATTAGTTTATAATTCCTCATCCATAATACCAACTCACCATAGGCCAAGCCACAAAGGGAACATCTGTGTTTTGAAGGCCTGCGCAATTCTAACACATTCCTCAGATGCTTGCCTCCACAAACAAAGGCTGTGCTCATACGGGAAAGTGGGTGTTTGTGTTCGGGGGGGCCTTGACATGTGGGAGTCGAGGAGGAGAGGGGTCAGTGTGCAGGCTACAAGGAATGAGAGGAGAGGAGAGCAGTGGTGGCCAGAGAGGGTGGGAGGGGCAGGGATGGGGGCTCATAAAAGAGAGGGTGTCGGATCATGCCTGTAGTGTTTGTCGGTCGGAGCCAGGGGAAGGTGAGGGGCCACCGGGACGTCTGGAGGCCAACTCTACACAGCAGGACGTTGCGGTCACCCCTGAGTATCCATTGCTTACAGAGCTGGTTACTGAGTGACAGGTCTGATCTGAGCAGCTCGCTTCAACAAGCAGCTCTTCTCCGAGGCAGGATCAAAATATTATCTCAGGCCGAGGACAGGAATCAAACAAACCACTTTAGGGAAATTCGGCCAAGCTGCTTTGAATCCTGGCTCTCTTTGGAAATAGGAAAGTACACAAAGGATATTCGACTGGCTGCAGGAGCATGTTCCTATTGAGAGCCTGATCCCTTTTTCATCTGTGTGTTTATCTTGGTTTTTTATTCAAAAACACATATTTTAATGAAAACATCACAAAGAGATAACTTGTGTCCATAAAAAGAGGTATTTGTTTACACGGTGCATCCATAAAAACACAAACGGTTAAACAGTAAGAAATGGTTAGCTAAGGAAGTGAGCCCTTGGCAGGAAATACCTCACATTCCACTCGGGTTGAAATGTTTTAAATGGATTCCTTGCAAAAGGAACATTTGTACAACTGGCTAGAAGATAAATGTTTAACCAAAGACAGAGGAGTCCCAGTTGTAGCTGAAGGCAGTGGAAGGATGCCAAATGTCTGGATATTGTTAGTTTGAAAATGAAATCCCCTTTCCCCTTGAGCCCCTAAATCTCAAGACTGGTCCTTTTAATGGGCGGTTGACTGAATTATTCTATTAAGATTATACCAACTGTGATATTAAGCGATATTTAGTCCAATCAGATTAAATATTTTCAGCCAACTTGAATAGTATTTGTTGTCATGACACTTTTTTGTACTGAGACAAGTAAATGTATATCTGAACAATACACCTAACGAGAGTAAAAAGGCTTAAGGTTAACATTTTCTGCAGTCAAACCGGAGCTCATGAGTTGTAAGCCCATTTACTGTTTCAAACCCCCAGTATGTTATTCCAGTATTACCTGAATGTCCTCCAGCAGCTCCTGCTTGCGCCGGCGGATATTCTCCAGCTCCTGCTGCTCCTCGGGGGTGAGGTCGTCCGGCACTGGGGAGGGAGGAGAGAGGATGAAGGGTTAGGACAGTCGCCCAAATATAATGCACCTTCTCTATGCGTATGTGTCTCATGAGGCGTGTCCCTTTATAATTCTCCTTGATATCAGAGGGTGACATGGCAACGTTTGTGGAGTCTGGCTGTTTCAATGATAGCCATATAAGCTGTTTCTCAGCAGTAGCAGATACTGTATCTGTACCTAAGAGGAGAGGGACACTCAGCGTATGAAACATCTACACAGTAAATCAAGTGTTCAGCAGCAAGGTGCACTCTGAAGAGGATCAAACTTTTAGGTGTGAACGGTCAGACTGAAGGAAACAGCTCAGGTCAGCCAGGCAGCACTGAGCCCCAGAGAAGCACAGATGTGATAGGTCTCAGAGCCGCCGTCACTCCCACTGTAGGCTGCTATATAATAAGCTCTGCTGAGTACTGAGGGGCGAGCACTGTGTCCTGATGGATGGACAACCTGCCCTACTAGCATAAAGGGACACCAGCAGCGTAACTATAACAGCAATCGAAGCACAACCTCGGCTCTTTTTTTTTTATTGTAGCCCTGCGTTTGAAGACATTTCGCCGTACTATTTCAGAATCTCAAACTTAAGTCTCCTAAAAAAAGGTGAGAGGACAATGTTAAATTGCAACTCTATGTATTGCTACGAGTATTTGAAATACCTTCAAACTTGTTTTCACCTGCTGAAGAAATGCATTAATAATTAACTTGTAATAACAATTTTTATTTTAAAGTTCAACTAAATTGAAATTCCTGTAAAAATAATAAAGAAAGTCTGCACCCTCTAAGGTTAGAGAACCAAACCATGTGTTTTTGTAGATACTGCAACATTATTTCACAAAACAACAGATCCTTAGTGACAAACTCTTTGCACACTGACACTGTCATGACTCTGTCTCTCATTCCCCCAGTTCCTAAGCCCCCTCATTACCTCACTAGCAGGGTTCAAAGGTTAAAGGGGTCGAGGCGAAGGTTGACTCTGTGGATCTCTGCAAACGGTTAACAAGGTAATGGTTATAGAGTAATGAAAGCTGAGTCCAGAGGAATCTTCAACACAAGGTTTCAGATTACTCATTTCATAACCTTCTACACCAACGATGACCCGAGAGAAATCTCCCTCTTTCTACAACTGTATCCTTTCCTCTACCGTAGAGTACATCATCCAAATAAAACCACAACGCATCGTTAACATTGATGCAGTGTACCTGCAGTGAGAGGTCAGTGAAAGGAAGGGTAAAAGCTCAACAAAATCTGGCGCAGCAATCAATAAAACAAGGATGAGGCAAACCATCCGGAAAGTATAAGCTCAGTGTGCTTTGACACACAAACAACTTTACAGCAAAACATATCTTTTTTTAATTTTTCCTTAAAGAAGAATTAATCCAAGCTTAGAATCCTAAATAAAAGTTATCCTAGAGAAAAAAAGATCTGCATAATGGGAAGCAATTATTTGAATAACAGAAGGTATGCTCACCTTAACATATTGAGACCAATACCCATGACATAAATGGAATGCCTGCTTATATTCAACGCATGGATACAGACAATGGAAGTCCAAAGCAAGAGCCTTAGAGTGGGGCTGATAAGGATCCCCAAAACAAAGCCATGCTGTCTTCCTTTCTTTTTTCAGAGAGCTGGGGGAGCATGGCCGTCCACACACGTCATACCTCACAGCCTACACTCTCCCTGGCAAACCAGCCCTAATGTTCATAGTATCCATGGCAACAAAACTGTTCTCACTTACAAATGAAGCTGACATCGGACAAGCACTTGGATGACCTTTGTTTTAGGTCAGACAGTTCCCTCAATTGCAGCTAACATTAGAGAAGAATTTAATGTTTTGATACAGACTGAGAAGCATAAACAGACGCACACACAGATGCAGAGCCAAGTGCTGACAGGTTTAAGTATGTGTTCTACCAGTATTTATTGACCCTGTCTAAGTTTGACTGGGTCAGTAAATGTCCCGCTGAGTAAATGCTGAGCGGGCTGTGAGTTTATCAGAGCGATGGGGAGGACAAGCTTAAAGCAGGCCGTTTTTTCCTTTTTCTGGAAGTATGATGTCAGGTTGGACGACTGGTGGATGCAGAAGAAATTGGGAACCAACCAAACCACAGCATTCCTGGTTTAAAGTAGGACCACAAAGTGAAGGAGACAGGGCAGAAGAGCGGCAGAAAAGGACTATAATTTAAAAGAAACTGAGCAAAGGAAACCATCTCTGTCTCAAGAGCACAAACAAGGACCTTCTCCAAATCGGTATCTTAGCCCATGAGCCGGGCACACGGAGGATGAAGCCTTGGTCCAACCTACCACCCCACATGTCATCTGTTGTCAGCCACACAATCAGACTTACTCAAGCAGCCAATGAGGTACACGCATCACTGCCTTTCTAACTTCAGCAGAAAGGATCAAGACCACATCAGGGAAAGGAAAGGCCCCACCAACGCATGTTCCTGAGGTGGGCACCAAGTGGGTGTCATTTTCCTGAAACCAGCTGATGAGGGGGGAGCCCGTCCACGTATGTCAATGCTGCTTGTTTTTCTTCTGTCTGGGAGCGCTGCTGGCTCTCATTCTGCCATCCTCTGTCTGTACTGGTAATTAGGGCTGTGCGATTATGGCCAAAATCATAATCATGATTACTTTGCTCAATAATTGATATCACGATTATTAAAAACGATTATCCATTTACTTTGAAAACATCAATTTAAAAAACAAATTTGAACAATATGTTTTTAACAGTTGATTATCGTGAACTTTAAGTATAATTCAACTGAAAAACCAATACATTTATTATTAATTTTTTTTTTTTTAAATCGTTTCATTTCTATTACGTTGTTTTCGTAATTGTTGCAAGCCAAAATCGTAATTGAGATTAAAATACGATTAATTGCACAGCCCTACTGGTAATGTCAATGAAAGACGCCTTAAACAGGACAGACAGGAATTGAAGAGGTATAGAAAGAGTGATAGCTTTAAATCTGTTTCTGTACCACAAACCCGGTGAAAGCTGATCATCTTTTATCGAGATTAGGATCCATGTATTGACAACTCAGTGAGAGGACGATCAGAGCAAATGTGGCATTTTTACCTTCATGTTTACAAAATGTATCACTACTCATCCGCTCCGTCTATACGTCAATTTAGGAGCCCCTCTAATCCGAACTGGGGAAAACCTGTATGTGGTGACTTCAACGGTCTGAAAGAGAAACACGGGCCGCCCACATCTTCACTCGCGCTGCTCAGAAAGGTCATTCTAGGAAATCACATGCACACGGAGGCGTGCATACAAGAAGTTAAGTCGTGCACATAGAATAGGGTACAGTCACATGCACTGATATACATGCATAACACCCACACACACCCACACACACCCACCAACGCCCTGATCAAAACAGTGCTTCTCACCCTGTGCCTGGCAGTGCACAAAACAACTTGCTTTTTGTTCCAACATTCAACAATAACACCATCTGACTGGTACTGTCCGCGCTGATATTCAGAATGGATCCATTACATCAGTGAAAACACGTTTGGAAAGCACCCATCGTCTGTGTTGGCAAACAAGGTACGGCAATCATAGAAGAAAATGATACTGAAATGACAGCTAAACATTAGGCTTTAAAGAAATGTTATACATTAACTGTCGATTAAAGAACTTCATAACACCAAGGCGGTGTGAAATGATGTGTGTGTCCTTTTGCCAAATCTGGGACAGTATTCTGTAAGTGCAGTGGCCCTCATTACTACAGAGTGCTGAATAAAATTAATGTATTACTCATTATGTTCCCTTAAATTCCCTTAAAGTGCACCTATCATGCTATTTTTAGGCAACAGCATAGGTCTCAGATATATGAAAATATATAAAGAACATGTCTCTGAAGTGTTTTGCTCAAAATACCAAACAGATCCCCCATTCTAGCCATGCCTCATATCCCTCTATTTCACTTCCTGTTTCAAAAGTGCTGATTTTGGGTATAAAGCTTTAAAAAAAAAAAAAAGATCAAAAAAAGGAGGGGGCTGAGCTCATGCGGGACCCGGCAGCTACTGTCTAAACTAAATACTGTCGTGATGAAACGCCATATCATGGATTATCATGGATTATCAAGGATTATTTCTGAAACAGTATGGAGCTCAAAGGCTTTCTCTCTTGCCGGTTATACCACAAGGTGAGTTCCTTTTTATTTCCTGCTTCTTCACACACATGCTCTGTGCAGTACAGGTTAGCTCTGAGTGTTAGCGATGCTAATGTAAACATGCACCGACCATATTATGTCCAAAACAGTCGGGCATTGTTTCTGATAGCAACATTTCCGTGGGTGTAAAGTCAGCCTACATTTCCGATATTACGTCATATCGGACGCAAATCTGGACCAGCTCCGTTGTAGCCCCGTTTTTAGAGATTTGGGTACGGAGGAAAAGAGAGAGGGTTTTATTTTCTGACACACCGGGGACACATTTATGTATAAAAGACATCAAAAAGTGCATTTTGCATGATAGGTCCCCTTTAAGTTGGCCTTCCCTTACTAAAACATTTTGTTTTACACAAACTATTCGCGCAAAATATCATGTTTTACCGTTGTTAAATCCCTAAGGTGCTTTATTTAAAAAACATTCAACCGTTTGACCGGGTATGTCCTTATTTTTGGCTTCTAAGCATCTGCAGAGTTCCTAGATGGGCAAAGTCGTTTTTAGTGAGGGCTGGGTCAGTGGAGAGCACCGGGGAGCTGACATCAAGGGAGTTACCAATTATAGCTCCCTCTCCCACAGCGGCGGAGCCCACTAATACACATCCTGATTTCCATCAAGGCAGAAGAGGCAGACGTCTCATTTCCACCCAGATCACTGAAGAACTCTCCTTGGAAAATAAGGAAATTAAATTCTTAAGTGCTTGTAGGATATCTCAGCCCCCCCCCTCCTCCCTCCCTGCAGATGTGACCCAATTTATGGAGCTCCTCTCAGCTCAAAACGACACAAATCATCGCCTAGT